ACTCCGCCCTCAGGTGCCCGGCGCGCCCGGCCTCGGCCCTGCCGGCTTCACCTTCGCAAAGTGCGCCTGCGCCGTTCCTCCCGGCGCCGCTCGGCGCCAATGCGCCTGCGCCGTTCCTCCCGGCCAGAGGGAGGCGGGAGCGTGGTGGCGTAGGTTCCGCCCCCTCACGACGCGGTTACTTAGGAACGGGTTTCCCTAGTAGCTGTGGAAATAACAGTGTGGCGGCCCGCGCCTGCCTCGGCGGCCGCCTCAGGGGCCGACCACCGGCTGGACGAACGAGGGCCGTGCGCTGAAGCAGGGCGAGAAGGGAGCTGTGAAGAGGGAGGAAACGTGAAGCCCTCTCATGGCGGTAGGCGCTTCCCTGTGCCGCCGTCCTCTCGGCCGGAGGGTGACGACGCAGTGTGCTGAGGAGAGCATCTATAACTTCCTGCCCTGCCTGGACGAGAAGCCTCTCAAACCTCCCAGGTACGTGGGTGGGTGTGACAGTACCACTTGCAGACACGGTGAGTGGTTTTGGCAAGGCAATGCAGCTTACGGGTAACAGGTATTTTAAAAAGCCCCACAACCTAGTTTTTGTGTAGTTACTGCTCCTCCTAATGAGTCACTAACATCTGAGGGCTTACAGCCTGCTCCATGAGCTGATGATTTGGTGTCTTCAATGCTATCTTGATCATTGACAAAGCACTGCGCTCTTTCCACGCAGAGGAATTACATGGCATCTATGTTATTTCTACTTTATAACGCTTTTTCAATGAGAAGCTGAAAAGTTGGGTTTATAAAAAATTTTTCTCAGTGCCACACTTCCATTCTTTTAATGTGTCAGCTGTGTCTCCTGACATTGGTTTTTTGCTTCTCTTTCTCACCCCTTACCTTAAGAACATAAAGGTGTTTTGTCCTCCCGAGTATTACTTCCTTTGAAAGTTTTTGTAAAATTCTTATTTGATAATTGTGCAAACATTGTTTTTTTGTCAAGTCCCTATTACTTTATATAAAAGAATGCTGTTAGCATTTTTAGTGTAAGGGTAATATAGGTCATAACTCAATGCCTTTAAAACAAGTAGAAACATCAATGGCATTCATTAGAACAAACATAGTTATCCTTTTTCAGGTAAAAGGGTTCACATTGTGAGATTCCTTGTTCTGAGCCTTTTCCATGTAAAAATAGATCATACTTTTTTGTTTGTTTGTTTGTTTCCAATGTGAATGAAAGACACTTTTTGTCAGAGAGACGGAAGTGAAATGACAATATGGCAAAGCATGCAGTACACTAAATCCACTCCCATCCTAATACCATTCCAGGATTTGGATACTCCATGACCCTCAGGTTCAGTTTAGGCAAGAGTCCTTAGGTTGGATGTGATCTGATTAAATCCCCTTCTGATCTCACTGACTTCTGTTGTCACCCCACTTCCTGCTTTGGTTCTCAATTTGCCAAATATCCAGCTGCTAACAACAGTGTTGAACCTGGTTAATAACATGATCTGACCTGTATTAACTAATGCGTATAAAATCTAGGGTCTCTTTTTCAAATGAAATCATATATATTTCACTTCCAACTGACCAGGTGTGCAAGGTTTAAGCCTTGCCGGGATCAGAGAGCACGTTGCTGTTGCCCCTCCCCCACCCACGCTGGTCGGGCTGGAAGTTAAGGCACAGACCCCGGCTAAAATAACAAGAAATTTAATACAACAGAGTGATAGAACAATCTGAACAACAACAGTATCAATGGTAACAACAATAAACAGCAGTAACAGTGAACAAGACAAACGATATACAGAGCAATACTGCTAGCTGGTTTATGGAAAGAAAAGTTCCCCACCGAGCCCGCCAAAGAGCAAGGAAAGGTTCCGCCCCCTGGACCTGACATCAGCATGGTATGAATAACCCGGCTGGAGATCCCTTCCCTCTCTCTCTCTGCTGTGGAAAACTTGACTCTATCCTAGCTGAACCAGGACACCAGGTACTACTTATTTTCCCCAACTCCCAATATGACACCTGAGGAATGATAACTGTCTTCGTACAAATGTGTTATCTTTTTTCCCCTTGCCCAATGATGAATGGATTAACATTCTTAAGTCCCTTATAACCATGTTTTCTTCCTTGCAACCCTCTCTAACCCTATGATATTGGTGTATGACAGCATTTAGCCACTGTCTTGGCCTGAAAAGTCACTGAAAAGATACAACTGCCACATCTCTTTGTCCAAAGGAGTGCCTATAGCTGTCTACAAAAGTCATCTTTACCTTATGCCAACATGTAATAAACTCAGTACTTTCTCATTCCAAGAGTGTAGGAACCCTACTAAGTAAAACTCCTCATAAAATCACTACCTTTCTCTACTGTGTGGCTACAATGCCACTCCTTGCAAATGGTGAGGAATGCAATTATTTACGAATGTGGTGGGTTTGTGCCCGTGGCTATAGCTGTTTGCCATAAATTTAACAGAAAAAAATAAACCTCATTCCTTATAATTAGAGGTATTTCTGGAATGATATGTAATCATATGTAGATAATCCTCTTTCTGATTTTGGAGACCAAATCTCCAGAAAACAAAATAACTCCACATTTTTAATGAAGTCCTCTTACACATTCTAATGTTATGATCAAGTACAAATATATCTAATGTACATTTGCAGGTCACATACAAAAGCTTTTATCAGTGTTGCTACTATGATTCCCATTCACTGGCCCCGCATGACATCATTTCCTTCATACAATTTCAGTATTTCCGTAAAGTAGGTTGCGTTATAGGTAATTGTTCTTTTTTTCCTTACCTGAAAACATAGTATAGTTTTTTCAGAAACACATTTTTTCTGTGAAAGAAAAGCGTGACTGTTTTATCAGTTTTTCTCTAACATAAATTAATATGACATGTTTCTTAAAGATGGACAGATTTTACAAGGTATGATGAGGTAGCCTTACCTTCAGAAGCAGGGAGTTCTGCTCCTTCAGGAAAACATCTGTGACAGCTCAGTCCTTCAGATAGAGGCAAGATGCCGCTAATCAGCTAATCATCAGCATTTGGCTTCTTTTGGAGAACATGTTTGCATACCTTTGATTAAAGCAGAAGTTGCGGTGCCATATGTAACATTACCAAAACACCAATGTGTGCCTACTGTCTGCATACAACTTCTCATGTCTGAGCCCTTACTGATTCTCACATTAGCTGTTTCAGTTAGGGCCAAAACCATCACTGATTAAAATAGTTCAGGGTCATAGTTCAGGTCTGGGTAGTGTAAGGTTTGCTGTGCTATTTCAGAGCAGTTACCCATCTCATCTTTTATAATTATAACAGATAGTTCAACAGGAACATTGAGACAATGACACAGTGGACAGTAATAAGATAAACTGATGATCAAGGACATTCTGTCCAACTCTCAACTACACTTGACATGTTTTCTGAAGCATGAGGTTTTACATACCTCTAAAGTACATTTCATCCCACAGAATGGAGCAGTGAATGTTCTCATTATCAGTACAGATCTCGTATTTTTTTAAGCCAGCTGAACTTTTCCCTAGATATGTTTGATTTCTGTGTAAGGCCCTACAATGTACTGTAACCGCAGCTCCGGAAACAGCTGAGGTACACTGGCATTTACATCTTTCTCATACTACAAACTTTCAAATATAGAAAATCTAGCAAAATAGGTTCATGATTACTATTTTTCTGTAGATGCACAACAGCTGCCTATTTTGGGTACATGCTTGTACAAAATAAATAGCCACATTAAAAAAACTTCTCAAAATTGATTTAATTAAAAAAAAAAAGATTAAAGCATGTAATGTACAACCTCATAAAAGTAATAAATTCATGCAAGCAATACTCAAAGCAGTTTATTTCCAAAATGTAGGTTTTGTTGAGTTTCAAAATGTCTGTGTTCAGTATTTATATGAAAAGTGCATATAGGAACCATTTCCCAAAGTGGGATAATACTGACCTTGGAGACACAGGAGAAGAAGGAAGAAGCAAGCTAACTTCAGATTCAGAAAAAACACTTGTCAATGCAGTGCTGGGCTTAGCCTTAGTATGGAGGTTGCATGAATGATGACCTTTATTTGGGAGAGGGTACAAACCAAAATAGCTTGGGCTTTTGACATGAACTACTGCAAAAATGTATATTATTTGAAGAAGTATTTTTAACAGTTTTTTGATCTTTAACTTTATAGCCATTTTTTAATGTCTAAGGTATATATCCACATTTAGACCATTCGTGAAACGTGAAGCAGAGAAAAATAAATCTCAGTGGAAAACTATGGGACCAGCAAAAGTTGGAGAGCCATCTCCAAAAAATTTTCTGCAGAAACATTCAAAGGAACCCAAGCTACCAGCAAGTAAGTGTACATATGAAATGTAATGTATTTTTAAAGTTTTTTAATTTACAATATTAATGTTGAAAGTAACATTTATGGAGAATAAATTTTTTTAAACACTTGAAATAATTTTTATATACTGGGGCAGTTTCCATTGTTCCTTTTATAGTATCTATGATACCAAAATTATTTCTGTATTTTACAAAAAATGTTTATTGTGTAAAATACTGAAACAAGCAACAAGGAGATTACATATGTGATTAGGAAATACAGTAAGTATTTACTCTTGCGTGGTACAAAACCAGCTGAAATCTAAAGAAAAATTATATCTCTCTTGGGTGCAGCTATTCAGATTTTGAAGATGTGTTGATGGTACGTTCTATCCTGCTGATATTTCAATTTGTAATTATATAGTTGAGATTTATATGTCACTGTTTTCTGCAACTGATCATTAATATTAAAGTAAATAATATGAATGGGGGTATTAAAAGTGAGCTGATTGTTTTTAATGCTTGAAGAGATATGGGAAAAGTATGGGTGCCTTTCTTAATGTTATAAGCAACATACAGCTTTTACTCTTCAGCACTCACTGTTGGCTCTTAATCCCGTAGCATTAAATTGGCTGCCAGCATTCAAAGCATAGAATTTTTTGGAGAGCTGCATGTCACAGAAATAAGAAAATTGGAATATTTTGTTGCAAAATGCACACTACCTTTGGGCACAAACCATAATTCTGAGTGAAAGGAGTTGACAGTTCTAATGTTCAGCCTCATGGCAGGTTCTGCAAGGGTCGACTGACCTTCTTAGTGCTGCTGGAGTTCTAAGTACATTGCTGTCAGAAGTTGTAATTGAGTTATAAAGTTTGGGCTTGAAATTGGTTTTAGCCTGGAAAAATAGAAGATCTTAACATACTGTGTATGTGTGTGTATGTGTGTGTATGTATATATATATATATATCTATATATCTATATATATATATATATATATATCTATCTCAGCTGTCTAAAAGAATGTAGGAGTCCAGCACCCAAATTTGCATGACACACGCAAATGGCTTTAGCACTGAAAATACAGGCTGTCCCAGGAGGCTTTGGAGGCTTAATGCCTCAGACAATATGGGTTATTAGAACCTTAAGGTAAGCTTTGGTCCCAAAGGTCCTGTAGCCATCCTGGGTTGTTTTTGAATAAAGCCCTCACTTTTTCAGGGAATCTGAACAGCATTCAGTATACTGGAATGTAATACTTCATGACATCTGAGCATGAATGTTTCCAAGCATAAGACCTTGTTAGATTACCACACTAGTGTTTTAGATGGGCATAGGAAAGAAGATTGATACACCAATAATTTGGAGCAGGCCATAAGACCCCTTTTGAGTACTTGTATTATAAAATGAGTGTTATCTACTTCAAATTTGCTATATATTGAGATACAGCGGTCTGACTCTCTTAGGCAAGCAGCTCACAATATTTCTATTTCAACTTGTTGATTCAGGGCTTCATAATAGCAATATGTGCTTTGGGGTTTGCATTTGGAGTCAATGTTCCAGAGACTCAAAATTGCTATGAAACATCACAGCTTCAATCCAGCCTAGTAATCTCATTGTCATGATTAGGTCCTAAGAGATCTTGAGAAGGAACTGTATTATTAGCTCTTGTACCTTTGTTGAATTTCATACTTACCTCAGAGAAGTCACACTGCTTAATCACTTCTCTTAAAGCATGGCATTTCCATCACTTGAAATTTAACCAATTATCAGTTGTCTAAATGGGATCATGGCATTGTGTCTGTGGTATCTGTGCCATCTTCAAAACTGCATTTGATCCAACTATTTAAAAAATAGATTGCAAGGACAGAACAGAAAGAAAGAATTCTTCTTCCCTGAAGTCTGAGACAGTGTAATTCTTTTAGAGACTCATTACTCACCACTTCCTTACAAAGGGTGTGTTTTATAACCTTCAACTGAATCTTGTTGTACTGGACTTTGCATTCATTTTAACCAAGCTTGGTTGATGGCTCCAGAAGAAGTGGGAGCTCCCAAAAAGTGTGCATCATTGTATTGCAGGTAAGGGTGAGCTACTGCCCACTGAAAAGCTTCAGAGATGTTTTTTCTAAGAAGACATCCTAAGAGAAACAGAGGTTTAAATCTGTGTGTCCTACAGTACTAAGTTATAGCAAGCTATCAGGTTGTAAAAACAAAACCCAGGAGAGCACTGGTTTATGGGTCAGTATCAGGAAACCAGCTGGTGTAGGAATGAGCTCTGCCACTTGTGACCTTACACATTTTTTGCCAAAGAAGAACATGAACTCAGACAACCTGAATCAAATAATTAACTCTGATAATGACTGTGAGTTAGAGTTATATCTCATGGGAAATATGGTGGGAAATTAATTGTCTTTCATCAGTCACCTGAAGTGAGACTACTCACGAGACTACTGACTTTCTGTTGATGCCTTGGAGAAAAGATTACACTAAAAAAGAAGAGTTTCTCTATTCTGGAGAAAGGATTGTGGGAAGTTGTTTACAAGTGTTAGGAAACAGCAAGAGCAGGGCTTTTCCCTAAGGAGAGGTGGGCCAGAAATTGAGGGCAACCACGATGCAGGCTGGGAAATAACCCCACCAACAGGATGCAGTCCCACCACAGCAGAGGCAGGCAAGCAGAGTGGGGTGGTAATAAAAATGTGTCCTATCAATGGCCTAGTGACCATCAGGCAAGATGGGGTGACAGGCCAGGTCCATCCACTGATTCCCCATCATCCTAGGACTAGGGCAAGCATGGCTGAGACAGCTCAGCCAGGGACTGACAGCACAGGCCTGAGCTTAAATGGGGTTCCTGAACCCAAGGGTGTGGGGTGGATGCCCCAGGTGAGGCTGGGTAGGGCCATTAATGCCGGCCCTGATAATGAGCTTCTCTAGTAAAAGTAGTTTTAATACATTTGAAAAAAGTCCTGTGCTACTGCAAGAGGAAATGAGTGGCATGTTATAAGGAAAACCCATCTGAAACAACATAGTATTTCCTAGGTTATGAAACTTCTGTTATGCTAAACAAGCATACTCATTTTCATCATAGTACATTCCTAGTCAATTCTTTAATTGTAGATACAGTTGGTTTCTATTTTAATGTGGTTTTGTCCATAATTTTTCCCTTTTGAAAAATGTAATAACATTAAATCACAAAGTTCTTCATGGTTATTGCTGAGAATGTTTACATGCTCAATTTACAGGAAAAAAAGAACAGGATAGTAAGAAATTGCCTACACTATCAGTGCCACAGAGGACAGATCACCCAGTTATGGGAATTCAGAGTAAAAAGAATTTTATAAATGCAAATGCAGTTGCTGCTGTCACAGGATTGCCTAAAAAGCCTCAACCTATTTGTGTCGATAGAAGACAGGGAGATAAATATCTGCTTGAAACTTCAGGACTTGTTCCAAAATATATTAAAAAAAAGGTAAGTTTTATTAAATTATAGTGGAAATACTAGTAGCAATGGCTATTTTAGGTTCTCTATTGCATTCTCCTGTGAAATGTTCATGATTCTTTTTGCATTTTTTAAATACCACTGCTGTTTGTGGTAGACTTTTAAAATTCATCAAGGAAAAAATCACTGGCACTAGAGTTGTACCTTGCCTTTGCTCTGTGTTCACTTGCTTATGCTGTCAGCAAAAAATTGGCAGAATGATGCTGCTAAAGCAATAGCATGTGTTGCATTGGGAACCACAGAGTATCTAATGGAGAGACTAATGGAGTTCTGTGATGAATGAATGCTGACTCTTTAGGAAAGACAGACAGGGAAGAGGAGGAGGAGGGCTTGTCCTTTGCATGAAGGAGCTGTTCAAATGTATGGAGCTCTTCTGTGGAATTGGCAACAGTCTGTTTGAGCTTGTGAGTCAGGATCAGAGAAAAGGCCAGTAAGTGTCAGATGTGTGTTATGGACCATCCAATCAGGTGAGGAACTGGATTAAATCTTTTAAGGCAACTTGAGGAAATCTTCAGATCACAGAGCAGCTTCTTGTAGAAGACTTTATCCTCCTTGGTATCTGCTGAAAGGATAACACAACGGGGTGAAAGCAATCCTGGAGCATGTTAGCAACAGCTTAACACAGATGGTGAATGAGTCAACCAGTGGTCATGATCTTCTGGTTCTGCTACTTACAAATGAGAAAGAACTGGTCAGAAGTATGATAATCAATGGTTGTCTTGGTTGTGCAGGCCAAGAAGTAGTTCAAGATCCCCTCCTCCTCAGGAAGGCAGGTGATAGCCTACAGACCCTGTACTTCAGGAGAGCAAACATCACCTTGTGTAGGGAACTAGTATGTAGGACCCCGTAGGAGACAGCTCTGAAAAGCAAAAGAGTTTGAGAGAGATGACATGCCTTTAAGGACAACCTCCTCCAAGCATAAGAACAGTCTGTTCCACCACTCAGGAAAACAAGAGGTATCAGGAGCCTGGCTTATCTAAACAGGTAACCCATGACAGAACATTATGCAAAAAGAGGCATGACATATGACATAACCCATGAGATGCAAAAAGGTGAAACTATAGCCCTTGCAGTACCTTTGCGTGGCTAAACATATATTAAATAGATATAATATATATATGATATATATATTCAATTTTAAAAGGAAAGGGCAAAATAGATATGTTCTCCCAGCTACATCTGGGATATTCAGAAATTATTTTTCCTCCTGGAAACACAATTCTGCCACATCCAGTATGGGATAGTTTATCATTCCTAACTAGTCCAATTTTCATGTATGTGTTAACACTATTCACTCTCTTCTGTGGTATGAAATGTTCAGCAAAAACCAGGATATAGGAAGAGCTTTTAAAGAAAGTATCTGAGGAATGTGCTTCAGAGAGTAGAATCTGACACCATATAAAAATGTAAAATATCTCGCTGACATTAACAGGTTTCAAACTCTTCATTCAACCATCAGTTCTTCTAAATAGATGTTTTGCTTTCTGGATTCTGTTGTCTTCCAAGGTTGCAAAAAGATACTGAAGGGAATGGTTTATAAGTTTTGCTCAAGCTACAAAGACAATCAATCTTGTTTGATACTTTTAAGAACACAGTGATTTAAGATTTTATTGCTCAGTGGCACAAAATTCAGTTTGAAGCTCTCTTTGCAAATGTAATATACTATGGATTACAAGTATGTCTTTGTTTCCTTCTTAAAAGCACATATAAGAAACTTCTTCCTTACCCTTATAGGATTACGGTGTTATACCAAAATACGTAACATGGAGAAATGAAGAAATAAAGAGAGCTCAGAAAGAACAGGAGGCCAGTATCTTGGAGCATCTTAAAAAAAGAGCCATGAAACGGCTATCTGATGAAGAAAGGAACAGTCTTCTTCAGGTGCATATTTTAACTTAGTATAATTAGTTACATATACAAAACATTAAGTAAGGTAATGTAAGTCCATATATAATAAAAGTATACTAGATTTTTTTAAGTGAGGCAAATGAGTTAGCTACTTTCTCACTAGATGGAGCTGTAGAACAGTTGTAAACTGGACTGAAGGGAGGTGATCTAGCTACAGTTTTAGTTCAATTTTACAAGTACTTAAAGTTTTGTTAGATTCCAATCCCCATTAATGACTTGGAATTTCAGTGAAACTTCAGAGGAATGCAGAAAATCACCTATATGGATTTAGTGACAGTTCTGACTCTCTACTTATGAATCATGGAAAAATACAAGTAGCTTTTTTTTTTCCTGATGCATAATGTTGCCACTTTTAGTGGCAGTTTCTATCTTCATATTGTGACCTCACTGACTAAAGCATAAGGTCATGCTATAAAATGTGGCAAAACCAGAAAATGGAATTAAATTGCAATATATTTGTAGAACTATAGCTGGAAAAAAATGTATTTTGTCAAGCTGTTTTGGATACTCTTTCATACATATTGCACAAGATTTTCTAAAGACAAATAATACCATGAAAGAAGTAGAGCAGAAAAGAGACATAAGTATATCCCATCCTTGAACTGGAATTTCTCATGACCATATTTTAGTCAAATTTCCTGTGAAATATACATTACTGTGATATATATTTATCAACCTGTCCTTTAATAACTTCATCTTAGCAGCCACCTGAAACAAATTAGCAGATAGATGGACATCTCCAAGACACTAAATCCCCACAAAAAAGCCAGCAGAATATCTAGAGAAAAAACACAGTGTCTAACTCACTTATAAAGATTAAGTGGTTAATCAGCAAGTTCCAAAATAGCACAGTGGTGTCTCTTGCTTATGCAGCAAGCCATAGAAGGTAGGAAGGAGAGGAGAATGCATTGCTTTGACAGTAATATAAAGAACATAACAACAAGGCTGAAGATTAAGATATTTTTATGATGGGAAAGGCATGGGACAAGCTGATGAACTGGCAAGTTAACTATGCAGCAAAAATATATGTTCAAAAAGGCACGTGAGTTCAGCTGCTCACAGTTCTGCATTTAGTTTGATAAAATTATGTTCTATATTTTTAAAATACAAGAGTGCACTCAAATATTTTTTAATTTAGAAGTCTTTAGATCGTTTTTTATTAACTCAGTATTTTCTTTCATTTTTTTCAAAAAAGTTTGCTCTTTCACATGGGCCAGATTACTTATACAGTTATATTGTCAGGAGGCATTAGTGTCCCCAGGGTATGTGGCTTCTACCCAGTGTTCAGCTGTAGACATATGGGAATTCCTGTCTTTTAAAATAATTGACATTGCTAGTGAACACATGTGCACTATCTGATTTGAAAGAATAAGTGGCAATAGATGTCTGAGGACAAAATCAAGCCTCATGAACTTACAAAATGAAGGGAAATAATTTGTGCCAACGTTTTTTGAAGTCTCCATTATGCTTGCTTTGGTTGGGATTTTATGAGAATAAAAAAGAATGTTGATAAATGCAGTACATATTTCTCACTGAACCAGCATGTATTAGAATTCCTTATATAGAGTTAGACATTCAGTTTGTGATCTAGCCCATAGCAAGAGTGGTTAGCATATTTATATTGCTGTTGGAGGAGCTGTGAGGGAGATTTTTACAGAGAGAGTCGTGATATGTTTATGATCTCTCCACTCTGTAGGGACAGAGTAAATTGTGATTACATGCTCAAGTGTGTTTCAAAATTCATTGTTTTCTATGATTTACAAACTAGTTTTTACTAATATACACAAAGATGAATTATTTAAAAGAGGCTATGAATGACTCTTCTATGAAAGTTATGAAAATATGGTAGACTAGAAGCTTTATTTAAGTACTTTCAGCTGTGGATTGTAAAGACCACTAGCGTTACAAGACAGTAAATAAATAGCCTTGTTGCTCTAAGTTTCATGTGTTGAGGTAGCGTTTTTAAATTTCTATAGAGATTACAATGAATATTGCTGAAGAACCTTTATGGACAACACTTAGATGCTTAATACGATCATGCAAAAAGCATGATTTGCTATGCAATAAATACACTGCTTTGAACCAGTAAAATATTTGTTTGTATTCAAAACTATGCTTTTTCTTAGGCAGTACTGGCAGGAAGAGGTAACTTCTTTCTGTTAAATCAACTCATACAGTGGACAAAATCAGTCAAGTTTTTAAGCACAAGCTTCTGAAATAGAAGCAACAATCTTCAAAGCTAAATATGTGTTAAGAATAATTGCTCTAAATTTAAATTCAGTATGTTAATGAATTAGCCAGTCTGGGAGAAAAGTGCTTAATAATAGTGGAGGACATGAGGCTGGAAATCAGTGTGCCATAAAATCAGTGTGTCAGTTGAAGCCAGTGTTAGTTATGGAGGAGAGTTGAAAACTTTATCTCCCAAGAGGGCAACTTCAGTTCTTCATTTTTGAAGATACTTTGTGATCTGTAAGGAAACAGAACTAAGAACCAAAAACATTTTGTGAAAGTGTTTTCTCACTAGCCATATTGTGTTATTTACTGATTACTGTATGAGTGCTTGTAGTAGGTGTGATTATTAAGTTCATCCATATAGTTTTCATGAGGACATTTGATGCACTGAATAAACTCTACTAAATCCTCATATATGCATGTATAGTATGCATAGATTTTGTTTATCCTCTTGAGGAGAGAAAGTAAGAGCAATTGTTGCAGTAATTGTGAGGATGTAAAGACAAGTTTTAAATTTTATCTTTCTACCACAGTCTGGTTTCATTCGGTATATATTGGTGGATAAAAGTTTGTCTCTGATGTTGATTTAACAGGTTTATGTTTCAGACAACTGCATGGGGTTTTTTAGGCAGGGTTTTAGTCTTTTTATATATGGAAGATACAGTTCACTTTATTTAATAAGGTAATTCTTTGCATAGCGGCATTCAAGAGAGGTTAAGAGGTACTGAAATCATTATTGATAGGTCAGTGACAGCTAGGGATTTTTTAGTCTAAATGATAAGTAAGTTGCCTATAAATTCCTGTAAATGTAGATTAGGAAGGGAATGCAATAATTTAGAACTTTTAAAAAATAGTTCATAGAAGTTAAAATATTGTGCAATCAGTTTGGTGTCCATGGTCTGAGCAAAGTCTCAGTTATGGAAAATGAAGCTGGTGATTAAGTGAACTGAAATGGCTGCTGAATTTTGGCTGGAGTTCCAAGTATTGATACTCTTGTGAGTACTTAAGGTAGGTTACACCACTGTGTGTGACAGGGTGATAACTTTAGTAGCTGGGTTGCTGTTTGTGGGAATGTGCTTTCTTTAGTGCAGTTTGTAAGATAATTCCTGTTGCATTTTGGAGAAAAGAAGTGATAGGCGTTTTGAGGCTGCTTTTATGAATCCTAGTGGTTCCTCAGTGAGCACATTAGCATTAGATATAATGGAGCAGTTAAAGTTGCCTACCTTAGGTGATTGAAAGCAGAGAAAGTCTCCTATATAGAATAAGGAAGAGTCAGTTGTCATTAACCTTATATAGTTTTTCTTGAAGATGCTGAAGACTAGAAATTAAGTGTACAGGCTTCCTTCAGTTCCTGGTAGGCTACAGGGTTGACTGTTAGTCACACTGACATACTTTTCTTCAGTTTAGCATCTTGTAGCTCATCCTTCATTGGCTAGTTTAATTATTGTTTTGTTGCCTCTTAAAGACTTTTTTTTCTCCAAGGCACAGAGGTTTTTTTAGAGACCATTCCTTATATTGCATCAGAATGAGTCAAAATTATTTCTGTTGCAACTACTTTGACTTTTAAGCATTTAATTAATTTGGTTCAGTTAAGATTATTAAACATTATCCATATATTTATCTAATATTTTAATGTTGCAGTGACACTTATCAAATGCAGTATTAACAAAAACCCTTAAGTAGTTTATATGCATATTATGCTTAATGAAGTAAGTTTTTTTATCATATATTTCCTTTTCATGTAATGGCACTAGGGGCTGAAAAAGAACTGGGAAGAAGTATATCGTGAATTTCAGGGTCTTTCACTAGAAATAGACACCATACCCAAGAAGTTATATAAAGAAAAGCTGGAATTACAGATGAAACAACTGGAGCATGACATAGAAGTAATTGAGAAGCACAAAGTTATCTACATTGCAAATGAGTAATGACTGTTTTTCAGATACTACCTCTTTCCTCCTTTTCTTTTTCTCTATTCCTACATCTCCAAGAAGCACCCCCCCTAAATTCTCAGAAGAAATTGACACCACCAACTCTTCAGAAGGAAATATTCAATTAATATATGTAGCTTCTTAGAAAAGTTGTTACATATAGCTCTCATCTGTATAATTCACAAAACGTTTTGAAGTTCTTAATTAAACTTTGAGTATGGAAACATGAATTTTATTATTCTTTGTAATTTTTATTAACTACTAAGATTTCAATAAACCTCATACAAAAAGCATAAAAAAATACTGTTTCATATGTTTGGAGCACTTCTTTCCTTGCATAGCCAAAACAAAATGAAATAACTGGCTGCTGAAGACAGCTTGGTAAATATAACTTCAAGGTGGGATGGCTTTTGGACTAATTATTAAGAAGCTGTTGCACTTAAAAGCTTGAATTATTGTATTTCTAAACAGCTTGGCCTCTGCATAACATTTTGTGTACTCATTTTTTGTTACCAAAACAAATTTTTATAGTGGAAGTGCATAATAATATAGACTTCACGCAATACAGATACCACATGTAGCTTGCTGTGTGTGTTTATGTATAATTCTGCAATACTATAGTAAATCTATAACTAAAGTAGAAAAATGTGGTTTGATTGCTGTTATGTGTGTAATGTTAGAATGAAAGCAATATACTAGCATGTGAGTCAAGTCCTAGGCAGAAATTATATCAGCACACACTGTACTGCAATTATTTGCATGAAAAAGAAAAAATGTTTTTCCTAACTGCTTTAGCTTTGCTTCAGAACGCAGGTTACCTCATTACCATGAGCAGCTGTTGCAACATCATAGTATCTGACATCAGCAGAGGATGAAGTAAATAATTTCAAATTAACTATTAAAAACCCAAATTTTCAAGTACATTAAGTTCCTTTCATAGATTTGTCAGGGAATGGCTTTGAAGTCTTCACAGTTGTTCTAAGCTATATTTCTTGTGCATTTTAAACTTGTTTATGACGTGCACTAGGAAAGCATGGGTGAGCAGAAATGTGTATTTTGTTCTTTGTTACTTATTGTTAAGCAGCCATGTTCATTTTTGAAAGAGACAAGCTGGAAGAAAGCTGTGGTTTTGTAAAATATGAATTTCATTTACTGTTTAATAATGACTTTCACTGTATATTTTAACAAAACCACACCAATTATAAGCACTTAACATGTCACATTATCTCCTAGTGAAGTACAAGATGCTTTCCTTAAATGCAATATAATCAAACATGGCTTTTTCTTATGGATTAAAATAAAAAACTAGATTTGACTCCAAAACAGCATGCACTCTCAGCTTTTAGTTACTCGTAGACCATCTGGCTGATTCAGTTGAGGATCTGGATTTGGCTCTTCCATTTATCATCAGTGCTGACTTTATGGAAATCAAAGTAGGTGATAGCCCATCCCAAAATTTGGGACAGGCAACTAGACCACACTCGGTAACATTCATCAGTCACCAGTAATAATGACTGCTTTTTAAAATTGGCAGAAGGATATCAGTATATTATTGGGAAGTTAGGAAGTGAACGAGAAGAGATTCAAAAAGTATTCCTCCTTAACAGGAGAGGGAGAGACTAAAGCCAATGCACTTCTGTAGCTGAGTGGGCTGTCACTAGTGTCTTTCAACAATACTGTGGGGTTTTTTTGCATAAACCTCATATAGCTCTTTGGAGGTAGCTCCACTGCCACACAGGATGTTCCCCTCTTGATACATGTGAATAGCTTCAGTCACCCTGTGGGGAGATCATGACCTATTTTGATGTGTATTCTGATTATGGAGAAAATATATTATAATGAAAATCATTGAAAATGCACGTGGAAGGATAACATTCTTACCCTTTAATTTTCTCTGGGAAGTTTGACAAAATAAATTTACAGAATCCAAAGAATGTAATTCTGTATTTATATGTTCAGTAAATGCCAATAATTGAAGGCTTAATGTTCATGAATCAACTAATATGTACTGTTAGTGTAACTAAAGCAAAAAGATGAGTAACTCAGTTGTTCTGATACAATCGTTCCTTCATAAAAGATATTAAATATTTACAGAATCAAGCCTGTCCACAGGCTAAAAAGTAGCATTACCAGTTGAAATGTTTTCTAAATTAACTAGTCAGTTACTGATAATCAATGAAATCATGAGAAAGAAAATAATCAAAATGCTTCTAGTACTTCATAGCTATCAAACTGGTATTTTTAAATGGTCAATATTAAATTGGATAACCATCACAAAACACAGGCTGAATGAGCACTGTATGAATGCTTTATTGGTCAGTAAGAGTTATGTTGCCACAAACTGAAAATATTTCCTGTTGGAAGTTGTGCATGACAAAACTGTGTATCTTTTTTTTTTTTTTTTTTTTTTTTTTTTTTTTTTTTTTTTTTTTTTTTTTTTTTTTAAATAGCAACATGAAATTATGATAAATATCTCACTGGCTGTTCTTCAGAATGAAACTATTTATATCCAGGAAGGAAGGGATCAGATATGGCATCATCACAAACACAGGGAGTTCCTGATTGTATGACTCTGATAGAGCTGCCTCAAGCAAGCATCAGATCTGACAGGAGCATATGGGCTCCATGTGTCTGGTCTTAAAGCACGGTGGCTTCTTGGGCTCTGTGTGCATTCCTGGGGACTAAGTCTGGGACAGTTCCCCAGAATCTTCCTTGCAGAAGGGTCACCCCATTCCCCTCACAAAACAGTAAGGGCAGAATTCTGTGGGAGAACTAATATGGGAGAAATGCCTCACTGATTTAATTTTCCTTAAGTCTTTGTAGGTTGCCTTTATTGTAGGAGGGCATGTTCTGTACCTTTGTCTATTTTTTGTAAAAAACTGGCATCATAAACAGCTGCTGTGATCACTCTGCCACAGAACTAAAATCTAATTCTTTCACTGGAATACATTTCAGGGAAAACAACATATCTAACAATTTCAGCCCTAATGAGGGCAGACTTCTCTCAGATAAGAAAATTTCACGTATATGCAGAGAAATGGGAGTCTTAGATAAATGCTAGTCCAAGTCAATGCTTTCATCCTCAGCTGTATGATGCTTATAATATTAATAATATAGTTACAGAAGAGACAGGTGGCAAAACCTATTATTAAGGTTGCCTGACTTTTCCCATAGTCAAGGAAGGCAGCTGCTGAGCCCTGCAGCTGATTGGGATTGTCCACCAACTAGAGGCATACTCAGCTTGACCAAGCTAAGGAGGACTGGCCGTTTCTCCCCACGAATGGATATCTGAGGTAATGATGTATACTTGACCGCTGAATGCCTAGATTGTTTGGAGTGGGGTTTTTTTGTTTGGTTATTTATTTTATTCTGTCTTAATCTTGATCCAGCTCCTTTTTGTTATGTGATATGTAAATAAAATGTGAGTAAATTCAGGGTGTTCATCCTCCAGGCTAAGCAGTGGCTTTATGGTAGGAATCAAAGGTGAGCTGAAGTTTCTTGTTTGTGTGTTTTTCTTTACTGTTTAATGGGTGCTGAAGTAAATATGACTCCCATTTCACCAAGTTATAAAAAACTTTTTTTTTTTCTAGACTGTACCTGCAACAAGTGGTTGTAGCCAAGCAGACATAGGCAAATAGTAGACTACACTCATGTTAGCTGGTCTTGATGCTGCAGTGAGAATGAACTGTTCAGTCACAGTACTAGCCTGTGTCGTTAATTCATTATTCCATGCCTGCCTGCCTCCACATTGACTCCACAGCATGGAGAAATTCACACAAACATGGGAATAACTTTGTCTTCAAATCCTTCCTCAAATGTTCTTTGCAATGGTGCCCCACCAAAAGTTTAACAACAGCTAAACTGCTGGTAAACTGAGATTAGGGTTTATCTCTCTGACCTGTGCAGTTTCCTTGAACTCTCTTGGCACTGTAGCCAGTTGTTTCTTGTTTTACGCTTAGATTCTAAGTTATCTGTCAGGTGGATCATTTTTTTCTCTTTGCTTAGTATCGGACACAATAAATTTTTTGTCTGTTAAGTACAACTCCTATGTGCTTATAATAATAATAAATATGATCATCTGGGAATGAATTAAGACCATGCAATAAAGGGAACGGATTCAAGTTGTTTACTAAAAGGATCTGTTTTCCAAGAACCCTCATCTCATTTGTTTCAGCAACTGGAAAGCAGGAGTTGAAGGAAGAGAAATGTGATTTAAAGCACTTAACTTATTCCCTGGAGCAATATGATTTATTCATGTCTTTGTGCAATGGTAAATGAGTTATACCTGTCTTTTTCACTGGTAGCAATTAATACTGCATTTGTCATTTTGGGGGTTCCTGACTTCTGCAATATGAGCCCATATGTTTTAAATACAGGGTATGTATGCCAAAAGTTAGAAGCTATTCTTTGAACCTAGACAGCACTGTATACTACTTTGAAAGCTATTGTCTCAAACTGATCACTCAGAATTAATGAATGTTTAATTTACTCTTGCTGGGTGAGAGACCCCATATACAAAAACCAGGTGACTCAATCCTTTAATTCCCAGAGCTGCTGTAAAGACAGACAAGTACCTCTAGACCTGTTCCCGTATTGCTTTGAGGGCCATATTAAAGCTGAGGAAGCATTGCAATAATTCTCTCTTCAGAGGAAAAAATTTCAGTAGCGTTCAACATGTGGCCCCAAGCACTGCACAATGGAGAAACAACCACGTTCTGCTGTTTGCTCAGGAGGAATGGTCTGTCGTTTACACAAACAATAAAATGTTGCTGGTCTAAATCCAGCATTCCAGCACCCTTAGGGAGAGGGTCATTCTGTGCAGCAACAAAGCTGGGGTTGGCCGGCCATAAACATTTAGCGTTCCTATGCCCACGCTACAGGAGAACTTGCTGTACCAGATTCTGCTTTTCAATATGCTTTTGTAAGTGCACTGTTTATTCTAGGCAAGCTGTGAAGTATAAAAAATTACATCAAAGACAACTGAGCTATTTTGGGGAGGAAAAAAAGTCCTTAAACTGTTATTTGTTTACTTGTTTAAAACAGAATTCTTTTTGTTTTGCAGATTTTCCCAATTTTTCTGTGGTTTATTAAAAAAGGAAAAGAAAAGAGGAAGCCAAGTGAACAACATCCTTTAAAAAGAAAACAAACTCTGATGGTTAAATTCATGACACTGGGTGTGACCCTCCATATATTTACAATTCCCT